GTACTGCGCTGCAGTTATTTGTATCATATCTATCTAACAGATAGATCTTTAGGGGTGGCTGTAGCTCAGGAGTTAGAGCAGGTCACCTACTGATTGGAAGGTTGGTGGTTTGATTCCTGGCTCCTCCAGTCTGCATGCCAAGTACCCTTGGGCAAGATACTAACCCCAAGTTGCTCTCCGATGCATCCATCGGAGTGTGAATGTGTATAAATGTTGTTAGAAAAAGCTATCGGAAAATGCGGCATGTTATATACAGCTCTCTGAGTACTCAGGGAGAGTAGAAAAGCGCTATATAGGAATCAGTCCATAATAGTCTCCAATTTGTGCATGTAAATGGAGAGTCCTCTTTACACACTAAGGTCAATGATGGTGTTTCACAGGGTTCAGTGCTAGGACCAATTCTGTTTACATTATACATGTTTCCCTTAGGAAGTATCATTAGAAGACATAGCATACACTTTCACTGCTATGCTGATGACACCCAGCTCTATCCATCCATGAAGCCAGATAACACACACCATTTAGTTAAACTGTAGGAATGTCTTAAAGACATAAAGACCTGGATGACCGCTAACTTTCTGCTTCTTAATTCAGATAAAACTGAGGTTATTGTACTCGGCCCTGAAAATCTTAGAAATATGGTATCTAACTGTATCTATTATTGTACGATCTACTGTGCAATATAAAGCGCCTTGAGGTGACTGTTGTTGTGATTTGGTGCTATATACATAAAATTGAACTGAGTTGAATCGCGGTTTCTGTATTTTCCTGTGGACTGGTTTAAGTGTTTTTGTCAGCTGGTGGATAGAGCTGTACTCACTGTGATATCTCTCATTTCTAGGTCAAATGCAGAAACATGGGGAGGGAGCAGTACACTGTGTACATGGCACCAAGGAAAACTTCACCACATACCAAGGAGAGGAATCACAGCCTGGGAAATGGGAACACACTGTGGACTGTTGGCACTGTTTCATAGCCTTTTGTAAATAAACACACTTTTTCCATTCAGAACGTTCCACATCTGGGTCCTCCTTCAACCAACCCTGACTGTGATGGTGAAGAAGAGTCTCCAGAGGATCAGAGTCCAGCTGGACTATGACAGGGAGGAGGTGTCCTTCTAGGACCCTGAAGACATGACTCACAGCTACACTCACAGAGACACTTTCACTGAGAAACTCTTCCCATATTTTGAGGTTGGAAATGCAGGAGATGCAAAACATCTGATATCAAAATCTGCTGAACTTTAAAGTAATTATTTTATCTGTGTATGTGATGGGCGGCTTTTTATATTTTTGCTTCTTTTAAATACATGGTTTCTGAATAATTCTCGTGTTTCACATGTAAATATTTGATCAGGTCAAAATCTGAATGATGATTTCTTTGCTTTTCAAAGTTTTTGAATGTGAACATTAAACTGTGACACTTATTAACTGACTAAAAGCAAGGGGGGGCGAAGTCCAGGCCTCGAGGGCCGGTGTCCTGCAGGTTTTAGATATCACCATTGATCAACACACCTGAATCAAATGATTAGTTCATTACCAGGACTCGATATAACTTCAAAACATGCTGAGGA